TGATCAATCGACAATGTTTTTAGGAAAATGTATAGAGATGAACACTTATACACACCATCAGAAAGAAAAAGTTGAAATTTCTAGGGTGTATAATGAGGAAAGAGGACTTGGAAAATTGAACACTCACAGAACATTGATGGCAAGAGGGACAGAAAAAAGTGTGTAACTGTTATAGTGGAACACACCTATTCTATAGTTAATAGACTCTCCCTCCTATAATAAGTAGGAGTAGTAAGAGTAACTAGTCAGTCGCTAAGTCGCTCGGCGAGTTGGTCAGTCAGTTGATGTCGGACGACCGTTAGTCAGACATTAAAGTATCAGCCACCACAACTAGATTTCTCTGTGTCATTACCTATTATATGAAGTTCCTAACGTTTTGTACGTCGAACCTATTTTAGGACCGACTTAGTACAAATACAAGCCTCCACTGTGAAACCACTCCATAACAGTAATCTAACAAGCTTGTAGTTGACAGAACAGGGATTAAGAGATATAGCAAAAAGATAAAATTTACTAAAGGCTACAAAGGACAGGAAGTCGTGGAGAGCCATGATCAGCTACTTCCTGATGGGACATGATACATAGAAGAAGAAAAATGGTGAGAGAGAGAGTGAGCGAGCAAGCAGTGGCTTCTAGAAATTAAAACCAAAATTAACTGAAAATTGATGATCCATCTCTGAGAGCTCAGAACTGGTCATTTCTGAAGACAACCTAAAAAAGAACAACCTTCAGTTACGCATCATATCTTGCAGATTTTCCTCCATTCTCTTGCTACTCTATTGCTATTTCCATGGAAAATGGTCTGACTAGCTACATTTCTTAGACCTACCTTCACAGCTAAGACCTGCTATGCCACATACAGTCGACTCACCAACATTCCCTTCACATTCCAATGATAAAGAGGATGTTCCACTCAAACAGTTTCTTCCCCAGAACTATTTACTTTGTGAAATAGATTCCTGAAAGGATGCTTCTCCAATCACTAGGATCTTAATCTCTTCAAGTCTAGAGTCAATCATTATCTATACATATAATCTGTACTGACTTGAGAGACTCTTGGGTCTTGTTTTGGGTAAACAACAGTATTAACTTTCAGCCCTTGTGTAATGTCAAATAAATAACTGCATTGCCATTTAAAAATCCTTTAATTGTGAGGATGAAAATCTATTTCACAATTTTTCATGATAAAAATGAAACCTGTGAGCAAAAATCATAAGCAACAAGATTGGAAAATTCAGTTTAAGTGATTGAAGTTTTGAAGTGCAATCAAAAACAACTAAATATTTAATGCATGACTCTTCATCATTTAAATAAATTAATTAATTAAATTAATATTATAGAACCAAAGAGTTAGGCTTTATACATGTAAGATTAATCTACCAAATCAGAATAAATATTAGTTTACCTGATGCCTGAACTTTACATCTAAGACCTTGAAGAAATTTTCTGAGCCATTCTCTTAAGTGCACATGTGGAGTGGGAATGGGTATAACCTCAAATCAGCTTAAATAAATCTTCAGTTTCTTACAAATGGTGACAATATTCATTACTTATAAAACAGCTATTATAACTGTAGGCTTTTCAGGAGTAAAAGAATGATTTGCTCACACAGACTAAAATGGATGGTTAATGGTTGAAGATTTCTAAAGTGAAAGAAAAAGTAAAAAGAGTTTAGAACAAACCAATAGACCCAGTTGCCTGATTAATCAGCAAAGAAATACAGACAATCCTATGTATAGAGAAAGGATACCTTTATAAGTATTTACTGTTAGCATCTTCAGATAAATATACAATAACCAGAAGAAAATTGGGACTTATTTAAGTCTAACTTATGATACAAGATAAAGAAATGGCTGATATTTATAGAAACACAACATTGATTTTTTTTCTTTTGTTCTTTTCAAATTGAAAAAAGAAACAACTGTGAAAGGAAAGTAAAACAAAGGATATATATATATATATATATATATATATATATATATATATAAATAAATAAAAACTAAAGAGAAATAAGTCAAGAAGAAAATGAAAAAGCAAAAAAGAAAAATCAGACAATATCAAATGAGAATAAAAGTAAATAAATGAACAAGAAAAAAAAAAGGAGAGAATAAAAATGTTGTTTTGAAAATAATGTTGCCTTTTTATACATGGAATAAAAACCAGTTCAATATACCAGACTTCTCAAAAGAAAAGCAAATCTTGCACAAAAAAAAAATTAGTTTTCTCGATGAAAAGTATTTTGATAATACTAAATTTATCTACTTATTATTTTTAAATGTACTTGCCATAAAGAAAGTTTTCCAATGACCTGATTAAATTGAAATTTGAAGAAAGAGTTCAGCCAATTAGGTAAATATAAAATATCACCCACAGGCATACAACACTACACACTACTATAAATCCTTGGTCATGAGATAATCCACATATTTCTTGCAACCAACATTGGAGAGCATTCAATAGTTACAGAATCAAGTTAAGAAAGTTTAAATCTAGCATGCACAAAATATGGTCCATAAGCCACATGTTGCAAACAGCATGGCCTATGTGGAGTTTACAAAATATTAAATGTTTTGTGTTCATCAGCATTAACTTTGGTGATTGATTGCTTATGAAAAAATTCATTTTTTTAAGCTTAACTTTATTCTACCAATATTTCAGTTTTTGTATCTAATTAATTCTTTTAACTCCACAGAAAAAAAAAAAAAAAAAAAAAAATTTTCTTGCCATGCCTCCATGTTTGTATTTGTTTCTATCACATTAATTTACTCTTGCGGCCTGCTTGTAATTTTCTCTGATTAATTTGGTCCTTCACATTTTCTAATTGTGCAGGCCCATCCTAAATCTTTGTTTGCAAGCCAAAACCAAAACTATACTTCACTTATTTTTGCTGTCATTTTGTTGTTGACTAAATTGTCTTCTTCTACCTAACTTAAATGTGAACAAGTATAATCAAAAAATAATAAAACCTATCAACACTAAGAGTAAAAAACAAGCAAACTTGAAGTGTAAGGCCAGAGATTATCTAAATCCATTACTCTTCCCAAGAACAATCACATCAATGCCAACTAAGTATTTGAAGGAGTCACTTAATAAAGAGACATGGGCAATAGATGCCACCTGATTGTCATCCAGTGATGGTCTGGTATGAAAATAAAATAATCAGACATGGAATGTTAGCCCACTGTAAAGATGTAAAACACAAAAAATATCAATATTCTTGGAGCATGAAGAAATATGATGTGTTATAACCACATCATCGATCTGCTATTGGGACGTGTGAATTAATCATAGTGACAAACAACATTTTAAAGTGTATGCAATTAATACGATTGGTAATGCAAAAATTGAAAAGGAGGAATGCAGAAGTATTCCATATAACAGAATTAAATTTATTAAGAATATGTACAATTGGGTGTTGACATTGTTGGATTGAGCATCAATCGAAATTACATGCATGATTGCAGGGTAGTTCAGTTCACCATGTTCCCAAAAGTGGTAAAAACTCAAACTCTCTAAACTCTTTGGAGATTTGAAATCTACTGAGGGAAGTAACACATTAAGTTATCTACAATTGAATTATATATCTTTTTATTTTAGAGTTGACCATAACAAGATAAAAAATCAATAAGGAATATGGAGGTAACTCTCACTCTTAGAAGTTCCATGGACTCTGTGAGAAGTATGAGGTCACAGTTCTCATCACGTTAGGCATAGCTGGTGCGATTTCCATAGAAAGTATTAGGGTTTTACAGGATGGAGTTGCTGGCCCCATACCTAACAAGGTTTGAATTCATTTTTTTTTTCTCCTAAACTGGTTATCAACTATGGCTAAAAAAAAAACAAAAAAAACTCAGTTTGCCTTATTATTTAACACATAAATGGGGGAGAAGCAATGAATTTATACTCTTCCCAACAGTATTTGCCCATAAATAAATGCAATGAATTTGACTGGAATTTGAACTCGGCTCTTTGATTTCTGAGTGGCTATCCATGATACCAATCACACATCCAAACTCTGTGCAGTCAGTTTCTTCTGGCATTTCCATCAACCAACAGAGTTGTGTAAGTCAAACAACACTTGTCTCCTGCTCACTACCAGTCACATTGCTCTGTTGCCTCTTTAAGCACTTTTTATAGATTTAGTAGTGGGTCCAATTTGCATAGCTGGAAAGCGAGTCTCACAAAAATATCAGACTGAGATCTACCTTTGTTTAAATATACGACTTGTAAAAATACCATTTTCTTTTTGGGAATATTTTACACATGAGATATGCCCAAAACCGTTTTCATTGAGGAGGTAAGCTATTATCTCTAGTGTTGCACTCTCAGAGAATCATATATGCATATAGAGAGAAAAAATGAAAGAGGAATCTGATGAAGAGAAAGACAAGAGGAAGTGTATTTTGGGCTAGTAGCAAATACCAAACTGTGTTCTTTTGGCAAAATTGAAATTGAAACCATTTAATCATGGCAATCATACTGTTATATGCACCAATGTCAGAAAGTAATGAAGAAGAGAGAGTTAAGTTTTACAATAAACTAGGAAAATCCCAAATAGAAGAAATTATTATCAGGGGTGACTTAAAGGCAAAAGTAGAAAGGGAACACGACAGTGAAGCAATTAGTAAGGATGGACTTGGATTGTGTAACAAACAGAGAAAAATGATTTCCTTGTTGCACAATAAATGGCTAAGTAATAACCAATATTTAATTTTCAGAGCACCCAAGAATCTTGTGAACATCAAAAAGCCCAGCAGGAGGCATTAAAAATCAGATAAGATTACCTAATAATCTGCAAACAATTTACAAATGCAGTGCTACACTCTAAAAGATATCCATGTGCTTACTGTGGGTGTGATCAGCTCTCAGCTTTATTCAAATTATGGTTAAAACTGAAGAAATGAAACAACCCCAAAGCAACTCCTAAAGTACAATACGACAAACTGCATAGTGATTTCATTTGTAAGTGAACATACGCACACTCAATTAAAGACAAATAATTAATTTTGGAATAAGTCAAGGATTCCAAGTAGAACACCCAACAGGAAAACCTGTATAACAGAAAAAAAGAAAGAAAAGAGAAGAGAAAAGAGGAGGGAGAAAAGGAAAAAAGAGGAAAAGGAAAAAAGAGGAAAAGGAAAAAAGAGGAAAAGGAAAAAAGAGGAAAAGGAAAAAAGAGGAAAAGGAAAAAAGAGGAAAAGGAAAAAAGAGGAAAAGGAAAAAAGAGGAAAAGGAAAAAAGAGGAAAAGAGAAAATTCAGATAAAATAGAGAAAAAGAAAAGAGAAAATAGAGAAAAAGAAAAGAGAAAAATATTGAAATAGAAAAAAAGAGAGAAAAAGAAAAGACGAGAGAAAAAGGAGAAAAAGAAAAGAGAAAAATATTGAAATAGAAAAGAGAAAATAGAGAAAAATATTGAAATAGAAAAGAAGAGAGAAAATAGAGAAAAAAAGAAAAAATTTTGAAACAGAAAAGAGAGAGAAAAGAGAGAGAAAATAGAAATAAAGGAGAAATAGGAGAAAAAGAAAAAAGGAGAAAAAGAAAAAAGGAGAAAAAGAAAAAAGGAGAAAAAGGGGAAATAGGAGAAAAGGAAAAAAGGAAAAAATAGAAAAAGAAAAAAAGAGGAAAAGGAGAAATAGGAGAAATAGGAAAAAATAGAAAAAGTGGGGGAAAAAAAAGTAGGAGGGAAAAAAGAAAAAAAAGGAGGGAAAAAAAAGTAGGAGGGAAAAAAAGAAGAGAAAGCAAGTAAAAAATTGTCCTGAAGAAAGAAATCTTTAAAAAGAATCAAAGGTAAAAAAAAAGCAAATGTCAGGTGAAGTTGTCGAGCTCATTAAAGAGAAGTTGTACTTAATGCCAAGAAATGGTGCAGAATCTATGCTAAATAAAACATCAGAAATAAGTGCATGCAAGCAAAAGACAATGTTCATAATAAGAAATGTGCAGAAATTGAAAAATTGCTGAATACAGATATAGCAGGCATGCATTAAATGCTATAGAAATAACAAGGTAGAAAACATGCTCTTTCACAGGATGTACAAAATCTAAATGAACAATCAATGAAAAAAAAAAGTAAAATACTCCAAAAATAAAATGAATAAAGAGGAGAAAAAAAAAAAACCCAAAGAAAAACCTATAATACAATAAACGCATGGACAAACCTGTGATACTAAAATTTGACATTAGGATAAAAGACTGTCAAGAAGAGATTATAATAGAGATGATGATCTGGGGACTGATAACATTATTACAGTGATAAATAAATTATGACAGTGACAAAATACAGGAAGACCTCAAGATATAATTGTATATAGAGTTGCCAAATAACCAGGTGCAATTGAATGCAAACTTCATGGGACAATCAGCTTGATGAGCCACATCACCTAATTCTCATGAATAGAGCTCATAGCAGAACTGGATAGGAAATAAGGCAAGAAGAATATGGTGCTTTGTTCAAGACATTTCAACAAGAATGCAACCAATCTGATCAAAATGCTATCAGAGCAAGAAAGAGAAATTCAGAAAGATCAATACCAGTTTCATAGATTACACAAAGGTATCGGATAGGGTACAACATGAGAAGCTCCTTGAAATCTTAGGAAAGCTTGATTTACATGGCAAAGATATTCAATTAATCCATAATGTCTACTGAGAACAAACAGCTTGAGAGCAAACTTATTGAATACACAGAGATAAAGAAAGTGTACAGCAAGGATGCATTTTCTCATCAGATTTATTTAACAATTGTCAGAGAACTAGAGAACCTACACACATAAATGTGTTTCAGAAAGAAAGTGAAAGAATTATTAGACAATGTAGTCAAGGAAAAGAAGAAGAAAAGACTAATCATTAACACTAAGAAGATAGAATGTACGATTGTTAACAAAAGAGGCAGCTTAAGTTGCAAGTTATGTATAAGGGATGTAAAAATCAATCAACCTAATAGATTGTTTAGTGATATATTGAATCAGATAAAAACTAAAAGTTATCTATAAACTATAAAACATCTTAGTCAAAACAATCTTTAAACTGTATACTATATGTATGGAGTGTGAAGATCATATACTTCACTAATTCAACTATTGATATATTTTTTTGGATTTTCATTCTCTTTCCAAAAATTCAATATTACTTTTAGAACATCCTGGCAGAAGTAGCAAAACGAAAGAAATATAGAAAAATTGTGGGTGAGAATAACCAATAGAGATAATTTTTCATAATATCCATTATCTTGTTTTGGTCTGTTATTAAGAAGTCACCTTTTAACATAATTACAGAAATTGTTTTCTTTTTTGTTTGTTTTGAATTTCACAAGAGAATTCCTTAACATTTTTCATTCTCATCTTGCTTATTACCTATCTCCATCAAATGTTTCTTTTTTTCGTCTTCTTTAGTTCCTTTCAACTATTTCTTTATCTAGCCACATTTGTATTCAATTAAATGAAATTTTTAAGAAGCAAAAATAAAATTAAAAAAAAAAAACTATTCAAGGTGTTCTTGAAATACAATAAAAGAATAATTTCTATGGTGTTCCATACAAAACACAATTTGAATATAAAAATCAATATATTAAAAAGAAATCAGATCTCTAGAATTGAAATCAGTGAAAAGATAGAAAATGTTAAAAAAAGATTCAAGCAGCTTTTATTTAAAAAAAAAAAATCCTATTTTCATCTAATTACCTAAATATCAAATTTAAAGATTATACTGTTCATTTAACAACTTTGATGTTATTAAAAATCTCACCTAATATCCCAGATACACAAAATCTTTTGATATTTTCAAGGCTAAGGAAAACAAATATAAAACATATGCTGGATTGAATTCTAAGTACAACAACCATTTTGTTTTTTAAAGCAATTCTCAACCATTTTCCTTTCTAGTCTCGACAGAGTCTGAAAGCATCAACACTTCCTTGTGGGTGACAAATTATTTTACACCGAACAACCATTTCCCCACAAATGAAATGTTGCAAAGCCTCTCTCTACTTTATCTTAATTTCCATTGAAGGTCTTCAGAAAAACTAAATTCTTTAATTTCACCAATTCTAATGTTCACAGCTAAAACACATTATGCCACGCACATTGTAGCAAACCACCCTCATTTCCTTTGTATACCACCTGAATTTTGACTTATCCTGATGAATGGCTGCTCTCTCAGGGAGATCCCATGTTGTGAGCATCTATTGGGACAAACTCAACACAGACCTCAAATGAAAATCATACATACAATCATGCACTAAAAATACTACAAAAATTGTCAGTCCCCTGTATCACTCTAGTAAGTATGTGACTCCACCCATTATCCTATATTTTTACAAGAACCAGATCAGGCCAAAAATGGAGTATTGCTGTTATATATGAACAGGAAGTGACATGACTTCAGTTTCGATACAGTTCAAATGTATCTATGCACCCTCATAAAGTGAGGTATTATTTTCCACCCTACAACACCCTTCCCACAGATGAAACATTGTAAGCCTTTTGCTACTCTATCACTATTTATTTCCATGGAAAGCAGTCAGATGAACTACATTCTTTAGTTCCCCCAGTTCTAGCCTTTCTAGCTAAGACCCAGCTTACCACACACATTGTAAGAAACCACCCTGCATCTTTCACTACATATAAAACTTTCCAAAGAAGTATAAAATACCCATTGTAACAAATAACTGTTGCCAATCACCTGATGATTGCATGAAAACATATGAAAGTTTTAGTTCTGGTTGGTCAGTGTATTTACCAGGAATTTATTTGGAAATATTAAGTTTTTGCCACTTAATATGACATTTTGACATATGACAGCTTTTTCTCTCCAGTGTGCTTCTATAAAAGACTCCCTTAGGAGTTGCTTATTTTATTTAATTAATATACGTAAAAATTTCAGATACAGTATACATATGTAAAAGGACAATATGAATAAAGACAAAAGGAAAACTTAGCCAATGTGCTTTGTCCTCCGAGGGACTTTATCAAGGTAAATAAAGTAACTCAGAGGACAAAGCACATTGGCTAAGATAATTTTTCCTTATATATATATATATATATATATATATATATATATATAAAATCACTTTAAATGTTATTTTTAGTGGATACTCATATTTGAGTAGATGCTCTATTTATTTATTAAGCAGTATATTATATATTTTCATCTACTAACCTGAATATTCAAGAAAGCTGAGCAAAGAAAAACTGTCATTAACTGACTCACCGACAGAGCAGCCTTGCCAATCAAGTAAAGTTTGAAACATGCCTTTAAGTGAAATCCTTAACATTAATTTTTCCTCAGAATTTTCTTATCTGTTCACTATCCAAACATAAAAGTAATTTTGTAAGGTAATGGATTTTATTAATCACTCCAGCAAATTATTATCACCTTAAAACCTTATTTTCAGTGGATACTCATATTTGAGTAGACGTTCCCTTTTTTTTATTAATCCATCGGATTAATAAATAAAATCCATTAACTTAAAAAAAAGAATTAAGAATAAATTGTCCAAACTTCATGTTTTTTTTTTTCTTGTTTTGTTCAAATACTTTTGTTTGCAATACTGGCAGCACCCATTTCTTTAAAATGACTGAAATAAAAGTACTTGAACAGATCAAGGAAAAAAATCATGAACTTTGGACAGGTTATTCATAATTTTAATCCTGATATATAACATCTCATTTGGATATTAGAAAAATATAATTAAAAAAAAAAATGAAATGGAAAGATCTTGTCAGCTGAATTTAAGAAAAATTGCTTAGACGAATTCTTGTTACACACACATTATATATATATATTATATACACACACAAATGAGAGAAAGAACAGATGGAGCGTAGTTTGAAGTTCCACAGTTCGTAGCATTTACTTCTAAAGTGTTCAATACAAAGTAGAGCAATATATTATTATTATAAAAGATAATGAAAACATTTTTTATTATGTTTTATAATAAAAATAATATATAGAAAAGGTATTTAGGCAACAAGAATTCATATCTAATCAAATATATACTAAAAATTTGGGAAGTCGATGTAACAAAAGTTTTCCTTTCTTACCCATATTTGGCTTTTTGTGGTATTAAGTGAAACTTATTATTAGTAATTATACTTATGAGTATTAAGCTAAATTTATTTAATATCAAATTCTGATTCAGCAATTTTAGTACTTTATTATTAAGTATGATCTAATTGTGTAAGTTAAATGTGGTAAGTATCCAGAATTTCATTTAAAAACAAAAAAACAAAAAAATACTGAATGAAATGACACCAAGTTCTCTATAAAATATCCCTATTGTAACCTTACACACTTATCCCAATGTCCTTTCTACTTTTCAAACAAATCTGCAAGATACTCGTTTATGATCATCATCTCCTGTTTCAACATGTTGTTCAGCTTTTGCTTTTGGAAAATTCAGAATTTTCCTGGAGCTAACAAACCTGGTAAACATATGATGTTCTCTCAAAAATCTTTAGATGAGACAAAGAATTTACTCTCTACATCCTTGTGAATGCAACAGTCATCTTAAAACTCACTCAATATAGTATGACTGCTTACTAAGTAGCCAGACAAGGAAGGTTGTGTTCATGGATGTGAAATAAGATCCCCTCCGAATGGTTGCTAAGTTACATCAAGGGCATCTAACAGCTTCTCGATATTCAGAACAGCTGTGAGTGATCTGGATGGATGTTATATAGTGACATGTTTCAATCCATATTCAAATTAATAACATTGCAAATTTATTATCTAAAATATTTCTTGTTGATAATATCACCACCCAGATCATACAG